ATGCAAAAATTATTTTTTAAATTTAATTTACTAATAGTCTAAAATATTTTGAATTGCAAGGTATGCAAAGTTATACACCAATTTTATCCACTCAATTTTAAACTAAAAAATTTAAATTTAAATTGAATCGGTCGAATAACTCTCGAGAAATAAAAATTTGCAAATACAATTAGATGGAGGAAATTACAAAAAGTGAATTCATAATTAAAGGCTTGAAACATTCATCTGATCCCCTGCCAAAACCGTGAAGATTATTATTTTAGACCAAAACTATTATTTTAGATTGATTTCGAACTTCACGTTTTGAGAGTCAATATTTAAAATTTGTCGAAAAAATTTATAATTTAGGAGAAAATCACCTTTGTACCTGATCTCTTTACGTAAAATATCGTCTGCGCGAATTAATAAGCATATGTAGTCTTAGTAGATGAATATAAAATCATTAGATCAAAAATTATTTTGGTATTTTCTTAAACTTTTTTGCACACTGTACAGTAGAAAAGATCGAATACAAATCACTCAAAATAAATTTCAATCTGATTGTCTAAATTTTAGGTTCTAATAAGAATACAATATCTAATGAGATTTATAGGGACCTTCTTTCTATTCACAACGATACCATAAGGTCAAACTCTTTTTTTAAATAACTTCTTTAAAAAAATTAGTTTCCATTTTTGTTTCAGATTACACCGAGTATTCCATTGTTACATGCTTTCAGAATAAGCTTCCAGTACAGAAAGCAAAGTAAAAAAAAAAAGAAACAGCTTAAATAACTTTTGATCTAATGATCAGATCTTCGGTTATTTTCAAAGTTCGAGGAAGCCACAAAAGATATAAAATTTAAAACTTAAATAAAATACAAATGCTTTAACAGCAAATATACATTCCATTAATTAATATCACCGTTACAAACAGAACCTTTTTCAAACACATAACATAATAACAATGGAAAGAATTTGCATACAAATTTTAATTTACATATAATACAGATCCAATTTTACTTAATATTTGTATTTGTTTATAAATTTCCACCAATATTATTAATTTTTGTGCTTGCAGAAGGTGCTCTTGGTAGAACAGAACCAAATTACGTTGATTTGTTTCATTTAATGGTGATGTTAAAACTTTATTTTATATCAAGTTTGCAATTTTGATTATTGCTAAAAATAATTTGCTTTTTACCCATTATAATTAAAGTATAACTAATACTTAGAGCTAATTATTAAGAAAATTACACAAAACGAACAAAAACAAGTTATCCCTAATCTGACAGACATGTTTATGATTATACTGCCAAAAGTGACCAAGTCAAATATGTAAAAAATTTTAAATGTGAAAATACATAATTATATATATATATATATATATATGCTGG